TGTGACCTCCGTTGTCGGAGCTTGTTTGAATAAGCTATCTATTGTGATTTTTAGACAGCCTACAATGAGCGAACAGAATAAACTAAAAGCAATTAACGACAATCAAACACAAATAGCAATCAATCAGAAACACACACAATTTTATAGTGGTTTGGATAACAATCCTACATACACTCTTTTTTATTGTGAATGAGCTTCCTCACTATGCAAACAGTTCTCCTAAATTGTAAACCCTATTCCGTAGGCTTACAAGATTGTATCCTCTAATCTACTTGAAACCAGCCGTCTAACCTAATTCTCCGCAATGAGTAAAACCTAGCCCTATCTAGTCCCAACCCTCAATTAATCCGGCTTCATTATTGCATAAAAACAAGTTCAAAGCAAAATCAAACCAAACAATTAAAGCTCAGAAAATTAAGAAAGATCTTACATCTCTTTTGTTAAACAAGTCATCTTTCGATGAATATAAGCGTGGTTCGATGAAGAACGGTATAGATAATCAATCCAAGAGAAATTCTCATCATTGAAACAATCTGATGATATTGTGCGCAATGAGTAAGAGTTTGTCGAGGCTCTGGGTGGTCAAATCCTTCAATGAAATCTCTCACAAATCAAAACCCTAGAATTCCCCTCTTCTCTCTCTCTCTTTCAATGATATAAACTCATTAATAGGTTAGGACAGAGACATCCTAAACTTGATAGAGATTTAATATACATAAAATAACGAACGACTGAGATTAAATTTAAAAAACCATAATGCTACCATGTTTACCATCGATGGTGCCTCTCAACCATCGAGGCACCATCGATGGTTGAGAGGAACCATCGATGATATAAAAGTCTCCGGGGTGAAAAATCATTGATGATGCATATTTACCATTAATGAGCTCAACCTACCATCTATGGTGGATGCCTATCATTGATGGTTAAGAGGCTGAAATCAGCTTTAAAGCTAATTTTCGTGTTGTTTCGTCTCGTACACTTCTTTTACATGTATTTACCTATACAATATTATCTTAAATAAATATTAGTACCAAATGAGAGTTTGTTATTAATTGAAACAAGAGCTATTGTACAGACTACGTCTTAACACCTCTCATCAACAATCATGCACCTTCTTTGGTTAAGTCTAATATTGTCTATCACTAACTTTGGTTATCAAATTGTGGCATAATTGTTTAGGGATTCAAATTATTTAGTACAATTAAAAAATCGGTGCTCTAGTTATAACTTTTTCTAAACGAACTCATGAAAATATATGTAATATTTAGCACTCTTTGATAGAATCTATAGGCGTTTAAAAATGCATATACGTTCCTACACACAGCTCGGGACGAAATGCAGATGATAAGCGTCATCATCCAAGTCAGGAAAGGATTATCTGGCCCCGTGAAAGCTAACGAATATACAAAGTGAGTCATTGGAGTGTACAAGTCACCAGAATGACGAAATACGCAATACAAGTTCGGAGAAGTCAGAAAGTGTCGAACACCTCAAAAGTGGACCACAAAATAAATAGGCATTTAGAACATGCTACGATTTGAATCTGAAAAGTTCAAAACATCAAAGTTGTAGATCTCTTCGTCAGCTTTCCAACGCATCTTGAATCAGCTTAATCGAAGGTCGTACGAAAGAGTTAAGGCCAAAATACCAAAGATGTCTCAAATCCGACCCGCGCTACAGTCTGACGCGCTACAGTACCGATCCGCTACAGTCCGACGCGCTACAGTTCCAACCCGCTACAGTCCGACGCGCTACAGTTCCGACCCGCTACAGTTCCGACCCCGCTATAGTTTGACGCGCTACAGTTCCGACCCGCTACAGTCCGACGCACTATAGTCCGATGCGCTATAGTTCCGACCCGCTACAGTCGACATGCTACAGTTCTGACCCGCGCTACAGTAATCCGACCCGCGCTATAGTAATCTGACCCGCACAAAGAAGTAAAGTTTTAACTATGCTGTGATTTGAATCTGAAAAATCTCAAAACATAAAAGTTGTAGAAATCTTCGTCAGCTTTCCAACGCATCTTGAATTAGTTTAATCGGAGGTCGTACGAAAGAGTTAAGGTCAAAATATCGAAGATGTCTCAAACTGACCCGCGCAGTGGCGGGTCGGATCGGTCCGACCCGCGCGGCGGCGGGTCGGATCAGTCCGACCCATCCGACCCGCGCCCACGCGGGTCACATCAGTCTGTCTCGCGCCCAGAACTGCCCGTAACCTCCAAAACGCGTTTTTAGGCTGTTTTGATCGGTTTCTTTGTTCCAGAGATTCCTAACTGCCTAGATATCATCTACAAACATGGTTAGACCGTTATTAACTAAAGATAAGACCAAATCACTCATTCTGATCCAAAACCCCCCCAACCGAAGCCTATAAATACGGGCTCAGTGGCTCATTTCAAAGGGGGCGATTTATTATCAAGACGTGGAGATGCTGCTGGATTGAGGAGTCAAGGAGCACGAATTTCAGCGAAGGAAAATCAGGTCCCGGCGAACTCCAGCATAAAGAAGGAGCTATTCGAATGATCCGAAGCCCCGTACGTCCGTTCCTTGAGATTAGGCTTTGTCTTAATCTCGAGAAGAGCTACTGATTTCGCTTGGTCGATTTCAGCGCTTCAAGCAAATACCTCCTTGCTGAGGTAGGAGCTCTGCCGAATTTTCCATCAACCGGATTCGATCCGCGGCGGTCCACGAATATCAAAATCCCCGGCACAGACAAAGATCCCACGTAAGCAGAAGACCGATAAACGATCTCCCTACGTTTGTTTTGACGAGAGTTATAATTTTTGTTTTCATTGTGTAAAAGTATTATTAAAAGACTATCTTTTTTTGTTTTCATTGTAACGATTGTAATGAATACCGCAATGAATACATTAACTTTCGACGCAAACAGAATCAAAGTTATTAAATTAGAGCAGCTTCTCCTTGTTCATGATATAGATTTCTCTCCGAAATTATGATTTTCCTCTCAGAATTAAACGCTACTCTAATGCACTTATTAAATTAGTATGTATTATACAAATTTAACCAATAATTCATAGGCATAGAAACATTCTCCTTATCTTTATTATTTTTATTTTCATTCACAAATTGGGTTAAAAGAGGAAGGCCATTAATATACAACATAAGGCCCAACTGGCCCAACTAAGTCTCGGCTGGGATCTCTCTCTCAATGTTGGGTTCTGGTTTGCAATGGAAAGGACTAGCGGCGATGTGGGCAGTCTCGAATCATCGCTGCTTCAAATCGTTCACGATCACCAACAGAGATCTTCTGGAATCAGAGAACGAACTGGTCAGCTTCAATCTCTTACCCATTTCTTGTATAGCCATAAAATTTAATGAAATTGCAATTACCCAAAAGTGGAAAATTTTTTGTTTGTGCTAGGATTTGGCTGATTACTGTTATCCTTGTATTTAATCTTCCATAGTTTCCTTAGAAACCCATTGCCTAGATGATTTTACAAATTGGGTGGAGATGTTATTGTCTCCCTCGAGCTGGAATTTAGTTTCATTAACAAATTGTTGCTCAACCCCCAATAGTTCAAAATTAATTTGATGGCTCGTGAAAGATTTAGCGTGTATTGGGGATGGTGGCCCTAGTTGTTAGAAAATTTTGGGTAAATTTGGTAAAACCGGCAAGAAGTTTGACCCATTTTGAGATAACCCCCGAAAAGATTGGAAATGTCACTTAAACTCGAAAACTTCTGAATCTGTTTTTAGATAGCTGAAAAAGTTTTGCGGAGTTATCTCAAACTCAAAGTGAGCAAAACTTCTAAATTATACCCTGAAATCTTATATGAAAACATTCTAGTCTATGCCTGCTTAGTTGGTATGTATTGTTTTACATTTCTGCGACGCGTTCAAGAGAAGTTAGAATAACATGTTTGCTTTGGCTTTATTACCTTTGTTCATGGCTTAGAGTCAATTTGTAAGTTCTTGTATCAGATGTATCAATGTATCTTTCCTCTAGTGTCTTTTCTCAGGGTTGCCCGAGATTAAACTACTATTTTATTTTCCGTACATGAGAATGACCTTTGTCCGATTACCAAGGTTTTAAATGTCGCCCGGCATGTCCGACATGTCAGTCTACATATCGGTTTGAGGGCTTGACCGATACGACATGGACGTTTTCAACTCGTATGTCGGTTTTCAGGGCCAAATCGGAAATATCAGGGTCATATCGGGCATATCGGCCTATTTTTTAGCTTTAAAAAATCTACCGATATGGTACTTTTTTTAAGATCTGTTTTTTGTTATGGGGTTTGGGTTTAGTGATAAATACTCAAACTCTTTTGACCCGTTCTCATGTTTAAGGGTTTCTTATGAACCCGATAGAAAGAATTTATGAACCTAAATCCATATATTATTTACTTTTTTATATGTTTAGTCTATAGAATTTATAAAGTATGCTTATATTGAATTTATGAATGCTTAGATTACATTTAGGACACGATATTATACACATGCGCACTACCCGATCTAGAAATCCGATATTTAGTCAATGTCCCCCGATATATCCCCGATTTCCGCTATCCGACATGGATTTTAGCCATCCGACATGAACCCGACATCCGACATTTAAAACCTTGCCGATTACAGCAAGGCCTTCGCTTTTGCATTGTTTCTAGGCTAGCACTTTAGACTGATTTGGAGGGTTAATGTTCAGTTGATAGCTTGCAGTAGAACTTTGTCGAAATTTTCATGAGATGGTCAATTATGCTGGACATGAACAGGGACACGGGAAATGGAAAATTTGTAAGATGGAAGTACGAGTAAGATACATCACATACAATGTGTACATTATCTGTACAATAACTACTAATAGCTGACAATATTACTTTGATTAAACATAATCAATCAAATATAGGAACAAATCCAATTTAGCATAATATACTTGCTCGTGGTTATTGGTGGGTTTTGATGAAGGGGTTAGTGTTGTTAAAAGAAGACCTCATCTCTCGTTGAGGTTGGATCTAGTTGGACTACGAGAAAGGGGCAGCAAGAGATATGGCTCCTGAAGCTTTCTTTTAACTATTTAATTTTGGGTATTAGGCAAATACACTACAAACCACATTAATTTAAATTCAAAAGGACCCAATAAACAAATCATGCCTTCTTGTGCCTTAAATCTGATAAAAGTACAAAAGTTTTAGGTTGAACAACACTCGGTATGTCTGACTCCATGAAACGACAGTGTCTACATTATCACACACAGGTGCAGGACTTATAGAGAAGTGTTCATGCTTTGTAGATACTTGATTTGATTTTGTGGTAGGGCATGAACCATGATCAAATTTCAGGATTAGTTTATTGTTATGTTTTAATTTCAGTATTAATTGTCCTTTTAGAAATTGATAGCTGGTAAATATTTTCTCAGTTCTGTTTAGGATAGCAGAGTTGGAATTTTGCAAATTATCTATCATTTTTTTTCCTCTGGTTTTCTAGCAATAATGGGCATAGGATAAAACCTTTGATGCCATTGCATCTCGTAAGAGTTGGTAACCGTATTTACAAAACAAAATATATTATATTGTAAATTTGTAAGTGCATGAAAAAAAAAAAAAAAAAAAAAAAAAAATTTATGTGGACTATAAACCTGTACATGATATGATTCATAGGCTAATTTTGAGTGTACCATGTCTTTAACACAGACAAAGCGAAGAAGGATGCTCTAAGAACTGCTGTTCGTGTGTCTGAACTTCTTGTGGACAGTGTTAACGGAGGAGTGGAAGAAGTATTTATTAACGAGAAACGTATTGAGCTTGAGATACGTGCATTAATTACTACAATTGTTCGCTACAAGAAGCAGATGAATCAATGGCTTGCTGCTTCTCATGCAATGAACTCTGTTTTAAAGGTCAGTTTTAAGCCTAGTTAAGCCAAACAAAACAACAATTTTTTTCTTTGTTGCTAAATTTCACACCCCCACCCACTACAAAAAAGGGTGTTTCTGCACAAAACCCCCCTGAACTTTATAAATCAGAGAAACCCCCCTGCACTTTCAAAATTATGTGTAGCCCCTCTGAACCATTGGAAAAATCTCACAAACAACGTTAATGGCTAGAGTAATAAGTTATGGCAAATTAAAGTTTGTGATGAAAATTTTAAAATGAAGAGCATTTTATGTGAAAGAGCAAGACACAATAATAGTGTCATATATAGAGACTTCCTCCTTCATAGTCTGCATCCTTTGACCTGTTCCAAGTTATTTTTGCTAACCATTACTTCAATTTTGGTTGTAACCTATGGTAACAGTTCGCTAGTTCTTTTCTCCCCCATCTGGTAATTTCCGTCAAGCTTGTAATTTTTCTCAAATTTTAGAATTTTGCACTAAATCTGTCAATTATTTGTTTCTTGTTAGTTACTTAATACCACTTTGTAATTTTGAGTAACAGGAGATTGGAGACTTTGAGAACTGGATGAAGATCATGGACTTCGATTGCAAAAACATCAACACTGCGATTCGAAATATCTATCAGTTGTGACTGCGTTGTCGTTGCGTTACCTTATATAAAATTTCTCCAGGCACGGTTTTGTACCAAATAATCTTATTATGTATATACAGATGAATCGTCAGCAGCGTATATTGTGTCTCAGGGGGCTAATTGCAGTACAGGTAAACTATTGACCCTACAAAGTGAAAATTTAAAGCGTGTTTGGATTGCAGAAGTATACATCTTCTCTATTTTAGCTTTATGTAGTCTAAACAATTAACGCTTTTAGTTTAATGACTTCTGTGTTGTTTCGACTGTGAAAACAGATTCATCGGGTTCCTTTTCGGATTTTATCTCATCGTGGTTGTATTTACAATGGACTAATGTCTGCTAAAAATAAAAATGAGAAATGCTACAGCGTGAATTGCGCGAAGCCTATGTGAATCCTTGGTCCATAGTTTTGAATTTTTTTTTGTACGAAGCTTCATTATCGTTGCTTCACTTTTTAATGTTTAAGTACCATCGCTTGTGTAACCTACGGTTTCATTGTTGTTTGATGACCGATACTTTTTTGCGACCGAGCTGCTGCGGCATTGTATTTATTGGCAGTTCTTTTCCGGCATGTCGACGGAGGTAACGGCATCAGGTTATCTTCTCTGAGGCTTCAGAAGCCCATATTGCCCCCTGAATGTATTGCTAAGAAACAGAGAGCATATTTTGCTGAGATCGAGACAGAGTCGATGGTGAGACGAAACAAGAGGTGGTCGACGGCAAGGTAGACGGGGTGGCGGGGAGAGTTCCGAAAATGATGAAACAAATATCACTCCATAACACTCGCTCCAAAACTCTCAAACAACATATTATAATTTTTTTTATTATCAATTTATCTTTTCTCTTTCTAGTTTTATCTCCTCTTACTTTTTCCTTACTAAATAAACTCCCCAACACGATGCATGGCTTCAGACAAAGATACTGAGAGAGAGAGAGAGAATATGAGTTGAGAAAGTTTGAGAAAGAGCTTTGCTATAGGGATCCAAAATATAAGACTAACAGGGGGACATGCGAGATATCCCTCTTCTATTGGATAATGAGCTGGTCATCATTAATTATGGTCAGCTTATTATGTAATAGCAGCTCATTATGCAATAAGAGAGAGACAACTCACGTGTCCCCTTGTCGCGTAGGATCTGACCCTCGCCCTCCAGTCAAGCCTATATTTTGAGTGCTTAAAGTAATTTTTCTTTGAGAAATTTGATCTTCTTTTTATTAATCTAAAATAAAGGTGAGAGGTGGAGGCCCACGCCTCAGCAAAACCGCTGCATGCATAACAGGTGGCAGACAAAAAACCCTAACTCCTTCCCCCGAATCGAAATCCCAACTCTAATAAAATCCCCACTCGATCCCCTCCCTCCCCTCCCGATCCCCAAAAATGCACCCAACAGCTCTCACAAACGACGGCGGCGACGACGGCGACTCCTCCTCCTCGCTCGCCTCGCCCTCTCCCTCGGCCAATTCCCCGAGGCCAGATCCTACGCGACCTCGCCCTCCAGTCAAGCCCCATCACCCCGAGAACTCAGCTCATCGCCGACCAAATCCTCGCCGTCGCCACCGTCCACTGGCCTCCCCGACTCTACCCGTCTCGCCTCGGAAGCCGCGCCCGCAACGTGTTCAGCCCCGAGTCCCTCTCTTCAGCTACCGAGCCTAGCTCGCCTCCTCGATCCGGCCTCAACAGGATCGCCAGTGCGACAGGGCCCTAGACCTCGTCAACGAGGCCTATGGCGTTCTCTCGATCCGGAGAAAGATCGCGGTACGATGCCGGCCCGGGGTCGAGCTGGATCCCCGGGGCCTACTTTCTGGACGTGTGCGCCACGTGCACGAGTATGAGAGGGTTTACGAGGGGAGGGAGATGAGGTGCCCCAAATGCAGGGGCGTGTTCTTGGGTGTGGAGTTGCCGGAGGAGCCCCAGGCGGTGGAGGGGGCGGACATGTATTATTGTAGCTGGGGGTGTTTCCCGGTGGGGTTCCCTGGTGGGTATCGGTTTCAGTGGGGCCCGAACAAGGAGGAGGAAGAGGAGGAGATGGAGATTACCCCACCGACGCGAAATGTGGTTAGGAGAAAGAGGCAGACGGCTAGGAAGACGGTTCGGCCGATCAATTTCAACAAAAGATTGAGAACTAGTGAAGAGGATGCTGATGGGGGCGGCTGAATTAGTTTTTGTGAGTGGGTAACGTGGGTTGAAGAGGAGGCAGGAGGGTTTTGATGGTTGAAGGACTTTTTGCGATGTAGATTAATGGGTGAAGATCGGTTGGTTATCGGTCTTGTGCATCTTTTTTGGGAATGCAAGTGTTTGCTCTTGAGCGTGATCGAGTGCAGAATGATCTGAAGATAATGTTTTGGTAAGGGAGAAAGGTTTGTTTTAAATGATCAATGTGATGTTATGAATCTCTTTTTTCTACAAGTAAATAGCAGTCTATGGTAGTGATGCATGCTTTAGATCCTTCCATGTATAATTGCTATCTTAAATATGCTGCTTTCAAACTACATTTTTCTTGCTAGTAGAACTTTTAGATTACATAAGGTTTTGTTGGATCTAAAGAGTTAACACTCATATTTAGCTTGAGGGGGGATGAAAGGAGAAAATCGAGACAGCTACTGGATTAGTGTGTTTGTGTGGGTTGCATTTTATAAAGAAAAAGAAAGTAGTTTGAGGAGGATGTCTCAGTATCAATACATTTGCAATGAATAATGAAGTGAATTAGTAACCTTCCACATTTGACTTATAATACCGATAAGTGGTACAACAAGAGAAACCCACTTCTCCTCCCATAGATTATGGGCGGGAGTAAAGTAAATAATGTCCTCTATGATATGTAGGAAGCTAGTTATCTTGGCACTTCATTTGGGCTCCCTTATCCGTGTCCGGCACGTGTCCGACTCTGACCTTCTTAGATGCTACTTGGGCACTCCTCGAATATACATATATTTAATCAGACATGTAGTCAATTATACAATACGTATTTTAGTTTAAAACACTCGATATACTCCAAAGGAGGCCTTTTTTGTACAAGCTTATATAGTTATATATATAATATATATAATTATATATATATATATATATATATATATATATATATATATATAGGTGAAAACTCCTATCCAACTTTAGGTGGATACAACATGTTACATTTAAACGCTAGATCGCTTCTAGGGCGTCGCCT